GAGAGAGAGAGAGAGAGAGAGAGAGAGAGAGAGAGAGAGAGAGAGAGAGAGAGATATTCTGGGGATCTAATACACAGAGCATGGCACATGCCAGGCAAGTGCACTACCACTGAGCCACTTCCCTGGTCCTCCTCCCTCACCTTTTATAAGGAAACAAAAAATGAGGTCTTATACTTAGTATTGCCTTGTACTTTGGGGATAAGCAGCCTTAAAGCTCAGGTCTGTCACATGCTAGATGGGTATTGATTTTTCTTCTTAAATCAATGTTTCCCTAGAGCATAGTTTTATTTATTCATAAAGCTAAAATGATGTCTGACAGGAGTTACAGCAGTGTAAATCTGTGGTGCAGGCACAATAAGAAGAGCTTTTGTAAGACTCAGAAATCAATGAGCTGATGCCAGAGGGTAACCTCATAAGCCTGGAGAAGTGCAGTTTCCAGGCCTCCATAAGTAAAAGGAAAACTTCAGCATAGGATGAACCTCCTGCTTCTCTCTTCTGTGCTTCTTTGCAAATGAACCTAATTGCACTGTGACTAAAACCAGGCCTTGACTGGATCAGACACATGACTGGTTGTTGGAATCTCAGGCTGATAGAACCCAGGCATCAGCTCTGATCCCTTGATGACACTAAATCTTTCTGCTCACTTGCAAAGGATTGCCAGCCCTGTTATCATCCCTTCAGAGTCTGCCTCTTGGTGCAGGGAGCTCCAGAGGTGGGCTTTTCCGCACAGAAGGCAGTTGACATGAGCATATTCACTTTGGAATATTTCGTGTCCTTGTTGGTTTGTTAAAATATATGCAACAACTCTCACTGTAGCTGGGCCTTGTAAAATCATGTATAATCCTAACAGTTGATAAATGTGTATTATGAATAGTCTATTTTCTTTTAAAAGTGTTCATAGCATATAAAAATTACCATGAGACCTTTTAAATTTGCTTGAAAAAATATGCTCTATATTGCCTAGAACCTTAACTGATTTTGTCTAGTGGTTGGAAAGTGCATCTGATGGCTAGAGTATCACCATCTGGAAGCTCAAATGTCCCATTTTCTGTTAGGAATCTGATCTTAGCACAGTAGAACTGGTTGGGG